GTGAAGTGTCCCATTCCCATGTACATGTACAGTACATACTAATGCAAACACGTGTCAGGTGTGCCTACGTACAAAACGACAGTTGATCCACACATGTTAAAGGGTTTTTAAAGCCTCCGGGCTTTTTTTGCATATATCTACTGCTAGCAAGCAGTAGATATATGCAAAAACGGGGTTTTTTTTAACCGCTTTAACAGCGGTTTCAAATTACCCCGCCTCCGCGCACCCCTGCCCGAAAATCCGAAACTGATCCGAAAAAGCATCTTGGGGCGGGCGCATGCGCAGTTCAGATTTTCGGCCGGGAGACGAGGAGAGACACAAGGTAAGTCTATGGACGCCGTGCACCCGCATGCAGACACCGTGGGACAGGAAGTGCCAGCAAGGACAGAGGAGTCAGCGCTGGATCGGAGACCCGTCGCACCGCTGGAGGGACAGATGGAAAGGACAGGAAGGAAGAAGAAGATCGGATGAAGAGACATCATTTAAGGTAAGTGCTGACATTAACATTGGGGGAGGGAAAAAACATTTTGACTACCCCCTCTGTGATAGCAATAAAGTTAAGTGAAAAAAAAAGTAAAAAAATTGAAAGCTTCCCCCCAAATTTTTTTAAAGTTACACAAAAAAGAATTTTAAAAAACAAAACATTTTTTTAAAGTCCCCACCCAACAGACAGGCAGGTAAACATGCGTCAGGTGCGCATACCTGCGAAAACGACGATTGCGCCCATTACGCCGCACATGGTACATATAGCCGCGAACGTCGGAATGAGAGCAATAGTTCTAGGGCCATCAATCACTGATAACACTAAACTGATGAGCGGTAAAAGCTTTTAAAGCGTCGCCTATGGCCAATTTTGGGTATGCTAGTTTTTTGAGATTTTGCGAGTGCGCGCAATTTTTAAGCTTGACATGTTTGGTGTCTATTTACCCGACGTGACCCCATCTTTTATATTTTGCCAAAAAAGTTGGTTATATTAGTTGTTTTATAACATAATGTAAAAAAAACTTTTTTTTTTCAAAAAAATTTCAGTAATTTCTCCTGAATATAGTAAAAAATAAAACCTGCAGTGGTGATTAAATACCACCGAAAGAAAGCTCTACCTGTCCCCAAAAAATGGTATAAAATTCATTTCAGTACAGCG